TATCTCCCTGTTACTTTTTATAAAAAAAAATTTGAATTGGCACATACAGATCAATTGACAGGTCATGTGGGATAAAACAAAACCAGTGCAAACATAAAACCATTTTTTGGCCAGTCATGTACAAACCGATAACCCAGTTAATAGCAGGAAGTCTTGGTTGTCATAAAAACAAACACAAACGTCATGATCTCAACGAAGCATCTTTAGAAAATTGGACGGATACAGTACCTTTCCTCCAATTACATCCAGTAGCTAAAACTACAGCTATAGAAACAATAATAAGTTTAGAAAAAATCATCCCCGCATTTGGTATTCCCCAAAAACTGGTTTATGATAAAGAAACTGCGTTTATGAACAAAAATTTCCCTAGTTGGTTTCATGAAAAGGATTAACACATGCTCCAAGAACCAGACTATTCACCATGAATGAATTCTAAAGTGAAAAAATAAAACAAACATCTAGAAACACATTTAACCGTTTTTTTTTTGAACAAGCAAAAGGAAATTGGAGTACTCTAGCAGCGAAATTCGCTTTCACTAATAATACAACTATCACCGCAAGTACTGGACTGACAACTTACGAAATTGTTTTCGGACAAAAACCTCAGTTACCGGTTTCTATAAAACTAGGGCTACGTCGAAATTCAAATTTCACTTGCAAAGCTGAATTTTGTTTTAATCTTCCATTACAAAGATATATTTTTTAAACATCATCGAATAAAGCTATACAACTGTTATCAAAACCATAAACCAACACTTCACTTTTTATGCGAGAGAACCATTTTAAAAACATCTTTAATACAGCTTTCAAGAAAAGCCTAGAAACGAATGCAAAATTTCCCAAATATCGAACCACATCTAAATTAGGAAAACCGCTAGAAGTAGGTCAAAAAGTTCTAATGGGAAACCATTCCATACAAGATGGCAAATCAATGAAATTACAAGAAATGCAATCAGGCCTATATACGGTAACAAGAAAAGTAACAAATGTGGTTTATGAGATACGACTAGATGACAAAGCATAGAAATCATCAAATTGAGTATTTCCCCATCGGAGAAAAAGCAACGGAAGTAGTGAAGGACTATATAATAAAGGACCAATCATACAAATCATGCTCTGAAAACCTAATGCTATCAAGGAACAGAATTGTGAATACATCACTAACAATGAATCGTTTCAAAATTCAATGGGTTCATCAGATAATTAACCCGTCGAAACACACCATAGACGAGAAAATTTTATAGAACCACATGACACTGAACGAGAAAAAAACCTATACAAAAATAGACTCAGGATTTCAAGAAAATAACACAGACACTCTACAAATGCCACGTACGCCAAGAATAGCCCAACGAAGGTTAACCTCAACTCCTCTTCATCCAAACGATAGGAATGGTAATAACTTCGATGAATTATCATTCATACCAACAATATGAAGACACCAGCCCCAAAATGGTCAGTCAACTGTTCAAACGGGTTGAACAAAAGATAAATTTCAGAGACATCGACGACAACCCGGCTTCTACCAAGCAGGAATTAACTAAATAATCTATAATGTATACTAAACTAAGTAAAATGTAACACTCAATATTTAACCCCGAGTCATCAATTTGGATACATAAGATTATTCAAACTATGACCCCACACGTAACCGTCAATCAAACCACTCAATTTTTCAGACAAAATGGTTTATTTGAATGAAAGCCGACCAAAAAAATTTAACTATTGCTAGTTTTTAGCAGCTTCGCGAAAAAAATAAAGATTTCTATTCTATTTTCAACATTTACACCTCTTCTCATTTCACATAATGGTGATAGGGAAAACGTATTGAGTTTTCTCGAAGCTGCCCATTATGAATGTTCTGCCATGCCGGAAAAAAAGACGTATGCTTTACATCGAGTGGCTACATGTAAAATATCCCAGAAAAGCTCTATACTGCCGATAGCACAATTAGCCTATATGAACGGTCTAATAGAACACACGTGAATGCAGTTAAGTGTAAAGTTAAATTATTTCCCATTCGTTGTAACTGCGGAGTGTGGGCTCATTCTTCCATCGTTCACAACTTGAACATGATAACCTATGAAAATATTTCACCACTGGAAGATTGCAAAAAGGCAGCAAAGAACAACAAAATCACAGTGAATGAAGATGGATACATTATTGAACCAATTATAAAAATGGATGAAAGTACTTTGCAACACAGAAAAGGAGGAACGTCATTTGACGGCGACAGTGTTCGACAGCATGTGGGGACAGGGGACTAGTAAAACACTACAGCTATGAAACGCACATGCAGAAAGTTAAACACAAAAAAACCTAGAATCATAACAGGTACAAAACCCTTTTGGCATCCCACTATCATGCCCAGTACTCGAAAGTGGATGCTAATCAACATCATTATACCCATATGATTACACCTGGGACATGCCCGAAAACTGCGTAGTTTCAAACTTATTTTCTAAAAAACGAAAATGGTTAAGTACGCTAATAAGTTGGACCACCCTCAATATCATATACTGAATGAAAGATCGATACCCAAAGGCTTAGATCTAAAAGTTCGCATTCAGAATAAGCAGCAAATTGTCTACAGCAGGCCCGAAGCATTATGTAAAAAATTTTTGAGTCTTTGTTTAAATCATATTCAGGCGGTTTCGACAGACTGGTAAACCCAGCAACATACGACTTGATAATAGAACTTATTATCAAATGCCAAAAATTGAGAACGATTACATAATAGAGAAACCTATGAACCACCCTCTGCATCCACAATGAACGTAAAAATAAGAATTGGGATCTTCTTATGCAAATTTAGATGCTTTAACTGCCGCAAAAAGCCTAACAAAAATCTAGATTCTCTGTTTTCACGGGGATTTTTCACAAATAACTTCATAGGAACCTTCAGTTTTGTCGTTTTTTCTTGCAAAAAATCAAAAAAAAATTTGTCTGTTTTAATTTTCTCAAATTTCTGCTAAAAATAACAGTAACAATTATTGAAGCTTTAGAAATTAAAAGCCTAATCAATCGTACTATGAGCTTCTGGAAGATATTCGGTGGAACATATAACTTTTTCGTTCTGCCAGTTTTTTCAATTGAAGACTTTGAATCAGCCGCAATGAGAAACTCAAAAACAAACCAAATACGCCAATATAACCATAATCAAAACTTGCTTTACCAAGAAAGCAATGCTTCAATACATATGGTAGATGAGCGAGCAGTAATTTTACTGCAACGAGATTCAAGAAACGAACCTGGATTATATCCGCTCTTAAATAATCAAAGTAAATTTTTGGTGCTGAAAAATAGAATAAGAACTACCTCTAGCCCAACAATCACATATTCAACCAACAACAACTACAACACTGTAACACCAATTTGAGGCAAAAATTTTCTATTTCAGATGCCCTCAGAAAAAAGTGCATCTCTATCTACTAAATGCTCTTCGATATTTTAGACAGACAAGTTCTCTTACTGATCTAATTTCCCATACTTACAAATAAACTGTTTACACGAATAGCAGCTGTTGACTTACCTCAAGTAGGACGGAATATAACGAATATATTGGTGAAAGATCCGGACAACCCGTGAGTCAACTGAAGCAAGCTTCGGTGTCAACTCAGGAACTTCTTGTTCAATAAATTTTATATGTCTTATGCTAATTGTTCATCCAGTATTTCACGAAATTGTCATAGAAACATCAAATCCAAAATATAATTTTATTCGTTCGTTTCTTCAAAGTAATGAAACTGCTATCATAAAAACAATTTCAGATGCAGTTCATTTTTGTGTGTGAAAAAATCAGGATACAACTATTATTCTTGGACATAAACATTTAAGTTTTGGTAGGAATTGTTTTGGTAGGAATTGAAAATAAATGTTCCTCGACAAACTAAATCAAAATTTCTTTCAAATGATGTCCTGCTCTCATTTTCGTAAGAAGTTTTCTTCCCAAGTAGCAGCAGTTTTTTTTTACCATTTACACTTAATTATCAACGATTTTTATCATAACCAAGCTATTGATAATATCGTACAAGCAAAAAATCCTAAATACAAATACATTCTTCGGTAAGAATTTTTTTGTGGATAAAAAACTGAACATAAACTTATAAACAACATTCGTCTTGAACGCCTTTACGAATTAGGAAAATCTTTCGACGCTTGTAGCGGATGATTCTGGCCAAAACCTTTGTAAATTTTCATTAGTGTAATACGTGGGAAGGCGGAACAGTTGAAGACTTTCACAACTGGCAGCGTTGGATCTTTTTCTAGTTTTATCGAATAAATGCTTACGCCATTTGCTAAACGACATAAACGATATCAAGTCAAACGATCTCATTAACCTCCCAAAACCTGTTTATCCGGTTACCAAACTGACGTCACTCTCTCATTGGAGTAGAAAATATCTCTGAAAAACTTTCTCTTTTACATGTATATAAGGTTAACTACATTAAATCAACTACAAATACAAATCCAGGAAATCGCCCTAGTTTCCTTAAATTAAGTCATTTTCTCGCTTTTGACACAAAAGCAGAATTCTTTCTAATTTGAAAGGATGATGTTTAATATCAACGACCAACCAGTTTCAGTTATTCACATAAAGAAAACGTTTGAAGTACAACCACATTTACAATTTTATATGATACTTAATATTCAATACATCGAAACGGATGTTTTTGTCATTCCGATCTTGTCATTCTTTATTTTTGTATCTGACTACCCAGAGTCCTGTCCTACCAAAACTGAAAGTGAAAAATGTACCTTAGACTAGATTGTTATTCTTTACGAAGGAACGTTTGGCGAAATCAAAGGATTTCAACGCTCCAATCTTACTAGCCAAAAAATTTAAAATAATGATACACCCCGTTTCTATGATACATTTCGAATTAATATATCACGGCGAACTGCACAGCAACTTTTTTAAATCAAGCAACAAGTACTGGTACCTAATACTTTGTCTTTCAAATAGCCTAACCATTCCCATTCCCTGCGATCTAGAGTAGATTTAATAAGCAATGAGAATGACAATTGAGTGTCCAACTTGTTTAGAAATTTTTGATCAAATGAAAATGTTACATAAAAATTTAGATCCATACAAACCACTTTCGGTTTGCGTTAATTGTTATTAGAAACCCAAACTAAGAGCTAGTTTACACTTCGCAAAATTTACTGGTCCCCCATGGAGGCAGACTTTTCAGGTAGTTAATATGATAAAATATGATGTCTGTAAAATCTGCAACCAATTAGTGTTAGCCGGAATTCAGTAAAAGGGCGAACATATGATAGTTGAATACCCTTATATTGCTGTCTGCAATAGTTGCAATAAGGAAAGCAAAAACATCTGCCTTACCTGTTTTTATAAAATTCCATTTGATGAGTTTTATGGTTAAAATATTTTGATACAGTGACAAACGAATGTCCCGTTTGTCTGGAATTACAAACAACCATTCAATTAAGAAAACTCGACCACGGGAGAGAATATCCAAAACCCTTTCATTTTATTTGTACTGAATGCTATACGATTTTTAAGTGCAAAACTTATTGATTTTCGATAAATTCTACTGCTCAATAAGCCGACAGAACGTTTGGGTCCTAAATTTAGGAAAATTTTTTGAAAGTAACAACTGTGCAGGCGATCAAAAATGACTAAACAAATATACTATTTGCTTAAGAAAATAAACAAAAAGCTCTGCTTGTAATGGACATTGAATCTGTCCTCGGTTACAATCTCCTCACACAGGTTGACGGTTGATAAGCGTAAGCAAACCGTATCTACATTTATCCAGATGAATAACATTGAAACAATTCTTGCACTCGACAGGGTCCCGACTTACACGACGAAGAATCATTACCGCGCAAAGCAGCAGCGGTTTTATACTAAAACTATAAATGCGTTCGTCAACAACAAAGATGTTATTAACATCATTTTTGCAACCTCCAACCGTATCATGAATTATCTCATTCCCAAAAAACATTACGAGTCCCTTACCCTGCCAGATTTTGTGAGTAGAATTGTTCAAGATTGCTATTTTAACTTCCAAAACTTTCTTCTTTCCCAACCAATTTTATTATTGGTTGGGATGTGGCCGTATGTCGACAGGATGTTTACGTCCTAAATTTGGAAAAAAATTATTGATAGTAACACCTGTGCAGACAATCAAAAATGACTAAACGTTTATACTGTTTACTTAGGAAATTAAAGAAAATGTTCTGCTTGGTAATGGACATTGATTCTGTCCTCGATTACAATCTCCTGACTCAGGTTGACGACTGAAAAGCGTATACAAACTATATCTACATTTATCTATATGAATAATAATAAACAAATTTTGCAAAAATTGTGGCAAAAACTTATTAGTTGTTTTTCATCTGGACAAATGTAGATACGGTTTGTATACGCTTATCAACCGTCAACCTGAGTGAGGAGATTGTAATCGAGGACAGAATCAAATTCATTTACCAAGCAGAACATTTTGTATAAAATTTTGAGGAAACAGTGTAAATATTTCGTCATTTTTGATCGCCTGCACAGGTGTTAGTTTCAGTAATTTTTCGTAATTTTAGGACATAAACATCCCAGTTTTTTCAAAATATCTTTATCCAACCCACTCCTGAAGGCCCGAATTTTTGTTTTCAAGAATCTAAATTCAAGAATTAACATAGGCAGCGACACCATCCATCCCACGTCATTTGTATAGACTGCCATTAGATGCCATTAGAAAACTCTAGCTCACTTTTCAAAGTATGGACAAATTTTACAATCAATTTGCCATGTCCCAAATTACAACCGATCGTTGTCCCACTATTCCCCCTGTAGTATATGTAAAAGTATGGTTAAAAGTGGAAAATGGAAAAACATCCATACCCACACCACGGCAAGTTATCGACAATTTACTGATTGCCATAAAGACAACACAATTTGTTAAAGATGCCTCCCTATTACAGCCAGATTTTGCCCAATATGCCATATCCTATATAATTTTTCCGACTCTTGGAATTACTTTTTAACCGCAAACAGATTTCCATTTATAATTCCTTTAAATTCTTCCATTGGATAAGGCATCAAGATTTCAAAAACGCATTCACATTTACATATATAAGTTTTCAAAAATAACAATAAACACAAAACCCTCTTTTTATTAATGCTATATTATACACTACTTAAACATCCGGTTTTTTCTATTCTCTTTTACCTATAAAATGAGACCCATGGTAAGCCCATGGTGACCCCAGGAGGACATGCCTCTAAGATTAGGGGTTAATTAACGCCCAAGTATCCATTTTGAATTCACTGTATCATATCCGAGTTTAATTCTGTATTTTAAATTGTTTTAAATTATTTTCTGTGGTTATTAAACACCATGACTGTCTTTCTCCATTTGTTTTCCGTGTTGGGTTTGTGTAAAACATAGACTAAACTTTTTAGCTTTTCTATATATAAATTTTTGAATCTTCATAAATTTCTTTAAGCATTCATTTTTGATTATAAGCTTTAAGGGCTTATTATATTTTGAGATTTTGAATAAATTACTCATTTGATACAGATGTTTAGCAAAAATGAATATGGTTCAGTAATGAATTTGAATTGTAGAAACCCTGACAACGAACCCGAGCATCTAAAAGGAAATTGCATCTCCTAAAGAAGAGGCAACTAAAATCGGTTGTTCGTCTTTCAACCATTTCAATAGACGACGGGTTGAATAAACACCCGCTTATTTTACCAAAATAATGCAAAAATTGGATCTCCAAAGAGAGAGAGAGAGAGAGAGAGAGAGAGAGAAAGAAAGAGAGAGAGAGAGAGAGAGCTGAAATTATACATGCTGAATCCTCGCTTTATCACAAGCTTGAAGTACTCAATTAAAATTAACCATAACTGGTGGAAAATCGACGACAATGGAAAAGCAGTGATACCAATTGCGTTGATAATTGGACAGGAAATAAATATAAAGCAGGAAAGCATTTTCTGGAAATTACAATAAATATTGGAAGACTGCTTTGTAATGGGAGTAGGGGGAGCGCAGATAAAGATTCATTTGAGGAAATAACTGCTTTCCCTGTAAAGAAAAAAAAGCCGATAGTCACCAATATTCAAACCAATTAGAAATTTGGCAGGCAGAAGGAACCGAATGACATTGAAAAACAAAGGGAAAAGCAAAAGATAGCGATACTGCAGCAAACACTGGAGGCATCGCAGAGAATGATAGCGATCCTCAGGTCCTACAACATGGAGTTGGAAAACGGAAAAAAAGGCCAGAGGTGTCTAAGAAACTATGATTAAACTGCATCGGTAAGCTCAAACTTTTATTCATATGTATTTTACTTATAACCATATGTTCTCTTAATGTTCTTGACTAAAATTTTAAACCATTATAGTGTTTAATTTGCACCATGGTAACTGTGAGAATCGAACAGCTTATTTTTCTAAAAAAAGGGGTGAGTTTTAATTTTGTAAATAGTACACGGACAAAAGACCATTGTCTAAATTGTTTACTTAGAACGACTCAGTTCTAAATTTAAGCGTGAGATTTAAATTGAAACCTCTACTCATTAAATCAGATATAAAATCTTGTTTTGAAAAACCATACTTTTTATACAATTGTCCAATTTTTTTTTCATTTTTTCATGCTCAGTACTTCATAAGGGCGGTACTTACTAACACACTTTTTTAACAATAACATAAAACAAAATAGATTGATATTTTATAGTCTGGCCGGCTGCCCACGCAGGATTTCTTCTTGCTTTGGTTGAGCTGAGATGCACCTGGAATATGATACATCGGAGAAAACACTATGAGTTTTTAATAAAATCGAACTGAAGGCTCTGGTTTTAATCAGAGGGGACTAAACATTAAAGATAAATTGATCTGAAAAATCAAATAAAATCTAATTGAAAATTCCCCTATAATTAGGGGAGAATAAAGGAGCAGGTGAAACCTGAGAATTTTGATAGGTTCATCAGCCGCCAGTTTATGGTTACGGGCAAAAAAAAACTGCAAAAAAACTGTATCGCCTGAAATCTTCTCTGTCAGCAGCAAGTTTTGCTCTGTCAGAAGCAAGTTCTCAAATTTTACAACTTGAGTTCTCCAAAAAAAATAAATTGTCCTTTTTTGTTTTAAAAAAAGTAAATTGAAATAATCAAAAACAACACAAACCAGAGCCTGAAGATCACTTAACAATTCTTCACAAGACGACTCAGAAAAACGGACCCAATAACGATTGACTTGAAAATTCTACCTCATCATCAACCTTAGGAAGAAAATAAAAACTAAAATTGAAAATATGATCTAAAATCCCGTACATCATAGGTATTTTTCTCTAAACTGTTCGATTCATTTATATAACTTAATAACCCTGTGCTTTATATTCATCAAGCTCATTAATTCATACTCTTTTCTAATTAATATTTGTACTATAACTTTTGTCAAGAAACTTCACGATCTTAGGTGAAACTTATTACTGAGGTTAAGTTGCTAAGCAATCAGCCAGCACTGCCCGCTCGGTAAAAACAACTGAAGATAGCGCGATTATCAGGTTTTTGTTCCATTACAGGATTTGCTGAGAAGACTTCGCTGACTCCGACAACGGCTGACAATTTCAGAAAAATCAAAATTTTTAATCTGACTGCTTGGCCAAATAATGTTGAATTAGGCAAATCTAGCAAAATACGACGCTTCGTACAGTTGCTCATTACGAAGCCAAACTGTAGACTGAACAGATGCACATTTTGGCCTCTGTAGTTCAGTGGAGTTTTGGAGAAAAGCTTTAAACATGTTCAGAAATGTAAGTGGATTCCATTCCACTCACAAACCTTCCGTGGATTCCGCGTACAAAAATCTGTAATGTAAATTAAGATGGCAGAATAATTCAATTGTTTTATCGCAAACTCCGCAAAAAGAGAATACAGCTAGTTATTCTGGTTTCCCCAATTGTATGCAGATTCCGTAAAATGTAATGGGACTCCGCATAAGTAAAAAAAAAGTCCCGAAAAATTCGTAGGCAGAATTAGCA